AATACCTACATATTTCCAGTCAAGCCATTAACTGATATCCTACCCACTGGAAGTTAGGTGTGGTTTTTATGAGGCCAGTGGCTAGACTTAGGATCTCAAGTGGCCCTTTTTTGGGTGGAATTTATTTTAACCTGATTTTAATCCATGCCTGTCAACAATCTTTAGCAAGACCTGTAACACTGATGTATCATGCTCCTGCAATTTATGTACCCTACACCTAAATCACATGAGTATAAGATAATACAGTAATAACAAGCTTAATGTACTCGTCTGATAAAGCCTTTGTTCAAGGCACTATGCTAGCCACAGTCAGATGCAGGTCTACTTCCTGAATTCCAGCTGTTTTTACTTTATTTTTAATTTCTTTCTTTCGGCTTCTAAGTATTTGCCCAAAGGCAATGAAAGAAAATCTTTTCCAGGAGCCTGCAGGAATACACGGAAGAGTTTCATTCCACAGCAGCCCAAGAGCTTCAACAGGAATCTTGTGGCTCTGTGTCTTCTATGTCTAAGATATTGATGTTACTCTCTAGGTTTGCAGATATTTTGGTATTTAACAGCACATGTAGATTTTTTTTTTTTTTTTTACCTGCTGTTCACAGATTTTTCATCCTCAGAAAGGAGGTAAAATAACACAGGAAACTGCCATGACCTGACACACAGAAAGATATTTATTTACAAACTAATGGCAGGCAATGGTTGCAATGACCCCAAGAATAGGACACCATGCAAAACTACAAGGAAAGAAAACAGGTAATTATCTATAAGCCAGTTTAAAAATTAAATCCAACCTCTGGCAACCACCTGTCTGTGCTGTAAAGAACCGGACAAGATTTTTCACCCAAGAAGGCAGCATGGACTTCACCTTACACATAGCAAAAAGGTTTAAAGTATGGCAAGGCTACAAAAACATTACATGTTTCCACATTACATATAGCAAACCCATTGTTTCAGCTCTCAGGAGAGTGCACAGCACTTGGGAGAGCTTAGGCAGAAGAGACCAAAAAAGCAGCAAACAGGTCTCAATGAGCAGCCAGCTCAGAAAGTGAGAACCTGCACGCAGCAGGAAGCTTGGCCAGCTACCTAAACACAGAACTCCTACCAGGAGCCCCCCACTTCACCAGGCCTTACACAAAAGCAATGATCTGGTCACCCATACCTACCTCTAACTCCAGGAAAACTCCAGCCAGATTCCTACCCCTCAGAGCACATGTGCTGCCAAGAGCACAGCTGCCAACAGCAGGCGTGCTGCACATTGATAAATATCAATTAGCACATGACACGTGCAGTGCGCAGCTGTCTGGCTCCCATTTCCCTCCTAGTGCTGAATGACACCATCTGAAGTGGATCTGAGTAAGCAGGGTCTCCTACTTCTGCTTTCCAGCTCCCTGAAACACTAGACAAGAGTTGGGTTACTAAGTCTGTGGAATTTAACTCTCTATGTGTACAATGGGCTCATGTCCCCCACTCTGCTTTCCAAGCCTGCTGCACATTGTGCTGCCAAACCAAACCAGAATCCACCCACCAACTCCCTGACAGACCCTAACATGCATTCAATCATTCATGGTTCTACTGTAAATAACACTAATTTTGCTCATGTAGGACATCAGTACAGGAATTAGGACATGTATGTTAGGCAATTCAGCCCCCTCACTCTTCACCCCAGCCTTGCCCCTCTCTCCCTGGTAACTTCAGTGGCTCTCTAGGCCCCCAGATCTGTGACCCTGTGCAGCCTTTCCAGCAATAAATGCATAGTGCAGCAAGAAGCCACTACACCCTCCAGTAAACACCAACTGCATCAGTGAGGAAAGGATCTTCTGTAAGTGTGCAAAAGAATACAGGAGGAAAGCTGAAGGATTTGCAAATCTTTATGGCTAGTAAGATTAGTTAGTAAGGTTAGTAAGAAAAGCACATCAGAGGGATTTTTTTATATTTTTAACCAGCCTGTAATTTAGTGTTGCTATCTTTAATCTGTGCTACCACAGAAACCATGCAATCAACAACTGGTTGCTAAATTTTTTGATATCAAGAGCTTGACAGAAGCAAAGGTCCTCAAGAACCTAGTGGTTAATTAGGGGTTATTAAAACTAAACAGCAAAGAAAGCATTGGAGAATTTACTACATCTGTGCTAAAACATGACCTAGAGATTACAGAAGCCCACAGGAAAAAAAAAAAAAAAGGAAGGAAGAAAAGTAGCAAGTCAGATAGATAGGGGCTTCTATGCAGCAACTTTAAGACTGCATTCAGAAGGTAAACAGAACAAATAAAGGTAGAAATGAAGAACAGATGAAACTGTGACAGCATCCCATATGCAGTGTGTTCTTTTCCAAGAATTTTATATCCCCTTAGAAGCTTAGAAAGTTCCCTGCTTTGCTTGGTATTTTTTATGCTTTCCTTTAACTAGACCTGACAACTTACAAAACAATAGATGATGACAGAACTCCTTTAAATCTATACACACATGCAATAGATTAAACCTTTCCTAAAATCTCTGAAATTACTTACTTGAAATTCCAGACATGCAAGTAAAGCATACTCAAATGCTGTGTCTCCTCAAACAAAGAGGAAAAGTGTCCAAAAGGTAAGATTCAAATCAATTCAGAAATAACTGATGAAAACAGGAATTTGAAAACCAGGTCAAAAATTGTCCAGAAAGAATGGATGTAGGTCAGAATACAAGCAACAAAACTGCTCTGTAAAGAAATCAGAAAATGCTACAAGGAAATCTGAGTAAATAAATAGCTAAAATACCCCCAATCTCACAAAAAACCCTTATGTCTTTCCAACAGGTAAACAGCCATTTTAACTACTGCCAGGGGACTGATGAAAAGGTCAAAAGGTCCTGGTGGCATTAAAGGACATGCACACTAAAAAACAGGACTTGTTTTTGTACGGTTCTAAAGAAAAACGAATGCCACGAGATCGACTCATTCATGGGGATTTGTCAGTCAAATACTACTGACACCCAAATGTTAAACGTGCAGGATGTCCCTGACTAGAATCAGTAAACATTGCCAGAGCCAGATTTTCCATTGTGCTTTTTTGATGACAGATGTGCAAATATTGGAAGTTGCCTGAATAAATAGCATGCAGACATCACTTGTCTACAAAGGGCACAGAAGTCTCTCTGCAGAATTCGAGGTTAATTCCCAAGCAGGAAATTGGGTGAAACAGCAAAATCTTTCACCTGCACAGGGTCTTTCACATAAAATAGGTAAAATCTGAAAAGAGATTTACTAGGAATTATTGTTTCAACAACATGAAGGATTGAAGGATTTTTTTTTCTCCCATATCTAGCTAATATTATCCAAGGTAAGGCTATGAAAAGCAGGAATTTCACTGAAGGTAACAACTGTACAGAAAGGAGAAATAAAGCAACCATGTTAGACTGTTTACGAGCAGAGAGTACATGACATACAAATACTCTAAGCACAATGAATCAGTGCATCGAAGTACTGAACTTCCAAGTACAAGTACACCTTTTAAAACTCTTAGCAATTACTCTCAGTGAGCAAGAAACAGTTATAAAGGACATACTGTCTCTGCTAGCAATAAATAATATGGAATCTCAAACAAGAACCAGTCATGGCAAACTGAAAGTACAAATTACTTTTAATAGGCGTCGACCGACCACAAAACAAATTCACTTGGAAAAGTGTGTCTTGTGATAGTGAAGGACAATACAAGCATAACATTCTCTAAAGCAAAACCTCCACTCAGTCAAACAAAAAAGAACACGTTGCAGGGCAGCAGAAGGTTTCTCAGTGTTAAATTTCTTTTAAAAATTAATTTTTTTCCTAAAAACACTTCATGGCTATAATTTGGAAGATCCTTCTAAGATCTTCTGTTCAAACAAGAACCCAAATATTCACTTTCATCTAAAGTAATTATTAGCTTACAGCCGAAAAAATAGTTTTACAATGAGCCACGGTCTCACATTGGTAGTAACATACTTCACTTACCTTGCAGATAAAGCCCTCAAATCTTAAGTTTCTGGCTGCATTTCATTAGAAACACACACAACAGTAAAATTCTTATTATTAAATCTTCTCTTTATTCAAATAAATCAATAAGTAAATAGTTAGGATTGATTTTATCTTTTTTAATGCAGGTGTACTGATGCCAGAATTAAAACGAAGCCTTAATAGGGAGGAGACAGGGCAAGTTGTCTTGTGCAGAACAAGTTTCACATTTACTTGTCTAGAAATGTACCATTCTGTATCACAATCTACTACTTTACAAGAGATTAGCTATTAGGTGTAAACTTTGTTTGCAAAAGGCTTAGAAGGAGGATGAAGGTCAAGTCATATCTGACCACCTTTGAAACGTCTCAACAATTCAGTACTTAAAATTAATATATTACACACCATCATTTTGATCCTACTCAAACTGACGAAAGTTACCACTCACATTAGTAAGCATTTGAACATTTAATGTAAAAAACTCTGGTATTTTATGTTCTGCTATAATCCATTTTGATAAACGAATCTTGTACTTTTTACATCAGCTTATTGTAACAATTTTCTTACAGAGTTCTTAAGAACCACTAAGCAAATAAGATGCATGCTTCCTAGCCTTTTTAAAAAGGAAAAAAAAAGGCCAAAAATTAACTCAGCCAACTTTCTGAACACAAAGATTTGAGTCACACCACTCCACACTACCCTGTTCACAGCTGAAAAATAGTTCACAGCTATTCATAGCTGAAAAATTAATGGAAAAAGTAAATTATAAATTACTCATAATTAAAGAAAAAATAAATCCTTTTTTTCAGCATGAAATATATGTAATGTATTTTCAAGTAAGACTATTTACATGGAATGAATTTTACACTGTACATGTTTTTTGATGTTGGAGCATATACAAACACTGCCACCACCAATACACTTACCTGTACATTATTTACATTTTAAAATATTTTACACAGCTCCAAATCATCAGTATCATTTAGCTATACACATTTTAAACTGGAGTGCAAAATGCTTACAGTTTTTTAACATGGGAATTTCAACATAAAGGCTGCTTTCAGTTCTTCATTAATTCAGCAGACTCAGGTATTAACTTTGTTCCATGCCAGCCATCAGTGACAAAGCTAAAGATTCCACTGTGAAACAAACAATAAAAAAGCAGTTAATATTTGCATTCGCAGCAGTCTGCAAATGCTTCGTGCAATATTCAATACACTTTGCTTAAAAGGAAGATACCAGATTATTTTTTAAGTTGTAATACTTCAGGACTTAAGATGGTAACACATCTTATGAGTCTCTGACAGTTTAGACAATATTTCACCACATTCACCATCAGTTATCCATTAGTTATTTCATGTGGTAAAAGCCAGAAAGAAATTAGCTCCTTTGTTTGAAATACTGTTGTACACAAGAACAAAAAAAGGCTGTGGGGAGTTATACACAGCAAGCCGTTCTCACAGATGGCTCTTGTAGACTGAGTAGCAGTGGTGTCAGATATTACCTGTTTTAGAATCATAGACTCATTTTGGTTGAAAAAGACCTTTAAAATCATGAAGTTCAACCATTAGCCTAACACTGCCAAGTCCACCATGAAGGCATGTTTCCTACATCATCTGCAGATGCGGTTAGAAACCTGTTACAACAGACATCTACATACCAACAAACCCTTATTGAGCAGTCCCCTCCATAGCTCAAACTGGCACTGATTAACAATTTAAGCTAATACCAGGTTGTAAGTAGAAACACAATCACATCATCTTCTGCTGTTTCTACTACCAAGGAAGTAATTTCCAACAGATGGGCAGAGCCAACAGCTCAGAGCAGTTGCAGCTGAGGCCCCATAAATACTAAAATTTTATCTGCTCAAGATATATAAAAGCTGTCATTCAATAACAACGAAAAAGAATGCTCCTCTATGACCCCAGAACTTAGTTTCATTAGTTTAGAAAACTGTTTTTCACTTGCTTGGCTACATCAGCTTCCCCTCATCAAGAAGGCAGATAAGCTGAAGAAAGCTGTCATGAAAAAGCTTGGCACAAATACTCTAGAAAAATAATGACTTTAACTTAGTAAGAAGTAAGCCTTCATGTCCCTCTGTCAATAACTCACAAAATGACATTTAAGATGTACTGACAAACATTAATACAGATTAAAACATAAACGCATTCTTAGCAACCGTTTTTAAGTGCAGGTATGTAAAAAGCTTCATGTACTTACGGTGAGGAAAAGAGCCTCGACAGACAGCTTTGTTGAGAACAGTTACAAGAAACATGTGACAGTTTTTAAAATCAGATTCCATCTTCTCTATGGATTCCATCCTACAAAACAGTTATGCAAGAATGCTTAACAGACCAGCCACTACGTTATCTTCAAAATATGACCGAAATTTCACAGTAAATGACAAAAGTACTCTTTACATAGAGTTCTGGCTTGAACTTACAATATTTCAGTTACGCCTGAGTATGCTACTTCTGGAAAACAGAGAAAATTTTGACAGGAGCATGTGAGCACTATCACAATGGCAGTAATAATTTCCTCATCGTCTTAGAAATCTCTGCAGTGATTTGGAGGAACTGTATGGCTCCAACTGACAACTACCATTACTACATACGTTTGTATATCAAGACAGCCTTTCCTGGTTCCTATTGCTTCAGAGCGACTTGGGGTAAACCCACACTGCTTTACTATCAGCCATCTCTTGAATTCCACTTTGGACTCTGTCAGCTAGCACTCACCACTCAGGGGAGAAGACAGTTCACAACAGTCACTCCTTGTGTTTTTCCCCTCTCCCAAGATGATACACATGACACTACACCAGCTCTGACTCTCCTGCCACATCCAAGAGCACACAACCACATGCCCTGAGTTTCAGTCTTTGTTAACAGCATTCACAAATCATTTCTGACACACCGAATGAGAAAAGCACTCCAAAAATAGGAACTTCCTAATGCCACAGGAGAGTGGGATCCAAATTCTAGGTAGCATCTGTGCCAAAGAGAATTAGTCCTTAAAAACATGAAGTGAGCCAGTCCACACCAGCTGGCTTCAAGACCATACATCAACTTTTGAGTGCCTGACACAGCCAGACAGTCAAAGCAAGTGATTATCCCACAGTATTCAGCACTGGTGTGGCCTCACCTGGACTGTTGTGTGCAGTTCTGGGCACAAAATCACGCTCAAAATAAATTCAAAATCATACTCAAAATGAAGACAATGTAGAATTGTAGGCATGTGTACTTACTTCCAAGCCCCCAAACCAGCCTGCCAACGGTCTGCAAACATCAGTACTAAGTTCAACACCTTCATTATAGCTTCTTTCACAAAGCTCACCTAAAACAATTAAAACACACACAAGGAGTAAGTCAGAAATCCATTGTTCAGCATAATAATACTCAGTATTATGTTGCAATACAAAGGTATCACATGCCATTTAATCTAATCTGCAAAAACAATCTCCTAAGTACAATGTGATTCTTCCAAATTTAAGATGTGTTTTGCATTTGTTCTCCAATTCATTTTGCAGCTGACAGCTTCAATGTGGACTATGCATAGACAGTACAAGGGATAAAACGGATACACATAACAGATCCATGTACCTCCATTTCCTGTCATACCACTAAGTATAATCCTCCCTACACTGCCATGTCTCAGCTCGTTCAAAACCTCCTGTCTCTTAGGAACAAACAAGCCATGTAATATCCAATATAAAGGATTTAATTTTATCTTCTTTCCTGGAGAGACCACCACGGGAAACTCGATCTCCATGTTAACTCTGGCAAAGTTACCACTTCCTCAAAAGGACCTGTACATTGCTTAGTATGTGTGAACTTCAAAATAGACAGCTTAATTAGTACTGAACTATTTTCTTGAACTACTTACCAAACTCAAGATACCAAATTTGCTAGGTTTTTACCCACCTTTTCTCTCAGTAAGCAGCGATCATGAATTGTGGATAGGTATCTGTAATGAATCTTTATCAATTGATCTAAATCTTTGGCTTCTTCTACCTGATGCTGAAACTCCAAGCCTGTACTGTGAAGAATCTTAAAAAGATGACCAGTTATTAAATTAATTGTTGCACACATGATTATGACTCTCTTCCAATATATTTTCAAGAGCCTGAAACTGCATGATTCATTTGCTCTTCCCTCTCAAATGTTAGGATCAACCTCCAAATTACCATCAATAGCAAACATTTTGACCTCTTCTCACTACACAACAACATTCCTCATATAGATAGGAATACTGCCACTACACAAGGACATAGAGATTATCCTTGGAGAGGTGGAACTGGAGCGTACTAATTTTACTAAAGGTAAAAAAAGGACTATAGTAGAGCAGATATGAATCTACAAGCATTGCCTTTATATTCAAGAAGTCATGTATACACTGTGTGCTAGAGATTTTTGAGAAGGATCCATTTAACTAAAATATCTGCAATAACACTTTTATCAGCATAAAGAGTTCCTAAGAGATAAAGAGCTTACAGAAACCTTTTTTCTACATGACTGTGCTTCAGTCATCTACCACTGGGAGAAAGAGTCAAAAAGAACTAGTAATACCCAAAGATCAATCGTGTGCATATAGAACTCTTAATGCATTTCCAGAATTACTGAATTAAAACGGCCAAGTTAAAACTGAAACATGTCAAGCTACAAAATCATTTCGCAGGAACAATATTACACTCAGATTTTGCACTTTTTTTAGAATGTTTTAAAGGGAAATTAATACTGCATCTCCAGTTACAAGTTCTTAATATAAATGAAAGTGTGATACAAGACAAACCCTTGTCATGATGTAGTTGTGCAGGCTGTTAACAAAATGCATAAGTTTCACTCTTAAGAGGAACATGCGATGTATTTGTTGTTTTATGCTTTCTGTTTGTGGTCCAAACAGAGGACGTGTTCCTTGTTCTAAGAAAGTTCCTTCCTTAACCTGTGGGTTTTCTGCAGCAGAGACTAGTTCTAAAAAAAAGAAAGGCAAAAGTATTACTCTTTTTGGGAAAAGACTCAAACACAGCCACACCCATAAAGTTTAAACAGTAGAAAACCACCACATATTTTTGGGAAGATAATTACTCAAATCATAGAGGAACCCACCGACTTCCTAATTTATTTTTCTAAGGTACAAACTCTGTATCCACTTTACGTGGGACAGGAAGAGTATACACATTAACCTGGCGAAGAAAATACTAAGAAATCTCTTTCTATAATCCCAAAACAACTTACTGTTTCAATCTCAAATAGAGTATTTTTTTTCATCTTGTTTTCTTAACTTGTCTGCAAGGTATTATGCATAAAAACTTGGACTACATATAAAGCAAAACATTAGGGTGTGGTAGACAGACCTTTCAACTGCAAGGTCTGAAGAATGAAGTAACAAGTTTCCAATATAACTAAGTAGACTTGAATCAAAGAGACCAAGGGAATGCTTGAATAGTGCTCTCCCTGAGGCTGAAGTGAAAAGCATACCCATCTTAATACATCTAATTTGCAATGCTAACACAGATTAATACTCCATAGAATTAATCAAAATTCTAACTAGTTTATACTACTTGCTGCAGAAAGCAGAATACTATTTATATCCTTAGAACACAAACCAAGTGTATTTATAGAGTATCGTTCATTGAAGAAGTATCTTACCGTCAAATCGTAAAACATCTAGACTATACTTGGCCCACTTTATTTGCAGTAAGAGCAGAAAAACTTGATTGTAAATTTTTTGGCACTCTAAACTTATAACTATATCCACAGGCCAAGGAACCTAAGAAGAAGAGAGGATAATGAGACAGAAAATATAAGTAATTTTAATACAACATTTCAAATCTGTTCTAGAATAAGAACCAAAGCCATATTAACTCTCTACCTTGTAACTCAATGTCAGACCATCTAAGGTGTGGACAGGGAGTTTCTTCTTTGCTGTATCAACACTCTCAAATGATATAGACAACCTGTGCAAGGAAAGAAGTGATGTCATTCGTGAGAGTCTGTTTTAAATTCGCAGTTAGTTAGTTTTATTAGGTTTTATTTCTTACTGCTAAATACCAGCTGTCTGATTTAATCTGGAGGACTTGGGCAGAAAAGATGGCAGCAGCTCAAAAGTTCATTAAAACAGATTATTTTAAGGGGTACACAATAATTAGTATTGTGCTATGCAGGTTAACTACATTAATATAGGTAAGTGTGAAGAAATATAACTAAAGCATGTTTTGCATTTTACCTTGCGCTGTCCTCTGGGTAGCGTTGTCCAACTGCTTCTTGTAGCTGAACATTTAAGAAAGCAACATTCTGCCAAGTTTCCTTTTCTCTAATTTTGTCAAAAATAGATGTATAGAAGTCATACATGGTATCTCCAGCTTCAAGTAAGAAAAAGTTTCTCATTGCTTGCAAATATTCTACAAGCCTAAACAGGAACAAACATAAAACATTTCCTCAGTCTCCTCATATAAATGAACCCAAAACACAAAACTCATCACTACAAGAACTCAGTACTGGACAGAAACATAACGAAGTCCACAATGAATCCTTTGTTTAACCCTCAGAGATCTTTCACATGCATTCAAATAAAACCAAATAACCAATGTGTTTCTCCCTGTAAGCCTGAAAAACCCCACTGACTTCAACAGGAGTGCTGATGATATTCAGCTATCTTACCAGCTAGGTAATTGTAAGAAATAGCATAGTTTGGAAATCTTTCCCTCTCCCTAAAATGAACTTCAAATGACAACATTATTAAGAAGTACTGCTTGAAACAATTTCCCCACTGAACATCTACTGAAGACAAATGACAGCTTTGCTGTTGATTTAAGCTCGACCAAGTTTTCATCCAAGAGTCTTTCATGTTAGATCCCCCTTTTCTCCTTAATGATTTTATTCTTGGTTATCAAATTGGAGTAGAAACACATGATAAAACTGCTTCTTTTAGTGATGGCATTCCACTGGTAAGAAAAGAAAAGTTAAGGAAAAAGAAATCTACTTTCTTACCTATAATCCTTCTTTAAAGTTTGCATCAGATTCCCACAGCATTCCAAGTATTGCTTGTCTATGTGTGGATAAAGACAAGACCTCAGTGTCAGTTCAAAAGTCTGGCAGGTCACAGATTCTGAGGATCTATCCACAGAGACATCCCCACCAGTAAACTTCTCATGGAAGTCACTCTGTTCCAGATACAGTCTTCAAAATAAAACAAACTGCTTAGGGAAGAAGGCTCATTACTGATACAATACATGAAACAATGCCATACTTTTGATCAGTACTGGATCCTCTGCTCTGAAATACATGGTGCGGGAGTACTAAAAGCTGATTCATAACAAGACTACATATCAAGCCTATGAAGTTATCCATCATACAGTTTGTGTATCACCAGGCATAAGAATATCAAAAAAAAGAGCACTTTATAATCACAATTGCTTAAGGCACAATTCTGAAAAACATCAAGTTCAAACACTATACAGCCTAATAAGCAAACCCATTGTTAGAGAACTTTTAAAACTCTACTGTGCATATACAGCAGTCAGATGAGCTTCCCAAGAAAGAAAAATAAAATTAAAGAAAGAAAGTAAAAATTTGACCAACAACCACAAAACAACAAACAAAAGAAAACCCAAATCCACCCCATAGATGGAGAATTGGTTTGAGGTATCTTAGTTATGGTGTCCCTGTATATTATCTGTAATATTATGTGATGGGAAAAAGACTATCTGTAGTCTACATTTGGTAAGTTTAATTGTTTTTTCACAGAAAGAATCAAATTTTTATAATATTTTGTAAAAAGCTACTTGTCAGTTGTACCCACTGTTAGAGGAAGTCTGGCTCATAACAGCTCTTGCCTTGATAGAGTCAGACATTAAATTAATGTAGCAGTTTGGACAAAAAGAATAGTCCCAATGAACAAGGGAAATAATAAAGTCTTATCTACTATTAATTATGATTTCTTTACAACATGTTCCTCCTAGGACTGAAATGAAAACGTGTATATTGACAATTAGTATTTTGAAAAAACATAAAAAGCTATTTTCTTATTCGTAATCACAAAATAAATGAGATTTTCAGAGTTTGCCTTGCCTGCTAATTTCCAAGACATTTATAACCTCTATAGGACTTCCCTCATTATGAAGAATGAAGAATTTCTATGCAATTAACATGAATTTTGGAAAGCTTTTACAGTTAAATGATTTAAACAGCACAACTGAAGCTGCATTCTTCTAAGGATATCCCTGGTGCAAATCAAGGGCATTGTACACAAATTCCAATCAAACTCATTTAAAAGTTCAGATTTTACAATGGCATTCCCTATTAAACCACTTATTTGCTAAAAGCCTGTTATGATAAAGACTACTCCGGTGTTCTTTGCTACCAATCGCGAATAGCACATTTTTATTTAACCAAGCACAAGGGGAGTGCCTATTTAGCTTCTGTCACTGGTTATTGATGCTCCTCTTTATTCTGCACTTGCTTGTTTCCAGCAGCAGAAGCAGCAGCAATGAAAACATGGTCTACCAAATGTCGCCAGGCAGAACATTGCTCTCAAATATGCAGCAGGAAGATCATTCATTTACCTGGCAAAATTAATAGCCAGCAGCGGGTCATGGACATCATCCAGTTCCAAGTGTCTTTCTGCTATAGACTGCATCTTTATCAGGCTCTGCTTTGTGGCCTGCTGTTCTGTAATAGTGTCAGGAACAGACTCTTCCCCGTGCCGCAGGCGAGACTGTACCGATTCCAAGAACAGTGTGTATAAACTCTTTCGTTCAGCATCTGAATTGGGCAACACATTCCTCAGTTAAGACTTTCTTCTAAGAGAAAACATCGTCTGAACTAAAAGAAGAACTCCATAGTCCAGCATTCACCAGCTAACTTTTAAAATTGTAAATTTAGGCCACTATTCAGAAAAAAAACTCATGTCATTTGAAATGACATGACTAGTCCAATGCCTAAGGTCAGGCATATGTTCAAATGGATTGCAGAACTGGTGTCTGAAATATGAAATATTTCTGAGACTATTAAAGAAATCCCTACTTCAGTTGCAAAGGCAGTTAATTTTGAGCACTGGAAACAACCCTTTACTATTCACTAGAAGAGATGATACTCTCACATCAAAGGGGGAAATAAACCGAGCGAGTCTAAAATAATTTACCTATCTTTACTTTCACACATCAAGGAGCAGCAAAATTAAAAAAATTGTTTCCTTAAAAAAAAAAAAAAGCCTAAAAAAGCTCCAATACTGATTACAGTGTTATGTTTTACAATCACACAAGATAAATATCCTAGATATGCAAATACCTTTCATCTACTTATGAGTAAGCTTTACAAAAAAAAAAAATTCACATGCTATCTCAGAATTACTGAACCACTTAGTAATAGAAAACAATTATTTATTAAAAAAACTTCACTGTTAGAACATTTTGTTTCATAACAAAAAAAAATGGTTTTGCAAGCACATGAAGTTTAAGAAAAAAATTAAAGCAATAAAAAGAAAATGTAACACTTAACTTTACTCACTTTGCTCTTTTCACTTGTTTGCATTGGAAGAATGTTTTCCATAAGACCTGAAGTTACCAACCATGATACTGACATTCAGCATGGAGTGTTATATTATTGTAAAGCCACTCTTATCAAAAATACACCCAATACTGTTAGATACTCTAAGGCAGAACAGGGTACAAACTGACTCTCACCCCTTGACGCCGCTTGCTGTGGAGAGCCATCTTTGCATTGAAGATTCTTCAACAGCTGCATGGATTTTCCGGCCATGATAATTTGCTTTAGCACAGGTTTCAGAAAAGAGACCATGGTGTGCTGTCTGCTTGAAGGGGCCTGATCACTGCCAGAACTGGCACTGGCATTATCACTCATCTTCTCTTCATTCTCCGTCTTTTCTGACACACTATATAATGTGTAGGTGGCATACCAGAAATCTCTGTGATTAACTGGAACATTTTTGTTTCTGCAAGGAAATAAAAGGCTGTTGAGTATTTCCCTTTTCAAAAGATGAAACTTCACTACTAAGAGACAAATATAATCTTTGTTCTATGCTTTGCCTTTCTCTTTAAACAGTCATGAAGCACTTTTAAAGCTATATAAAATTAGCTCATTCATATTGCAAACTATCTAGACACACTGAAATGGATGATTGCTTCGGAAGGATAAACAAGCAGGTCACAGGGCATAAAACAACTACACAACCAAATAAACCCCCAAAGCAAAGCAAATACAATAATCATAATTAAATTTGTCCAGGAAGTTAACTATTCAAAGTACAATGCATCCTTAATGTCAAAATGATGAGTGACTTGCAGATTTATTTAAAATGCAAAATTGAAGCAAATACTACTGGGAAAGCAGAAAAATTCTAGAGTAGGTGAAACCCAATTTGTAGTTCACTTTGGTTTTTTGTGTTGTTTACGTCAGACACACACTTTTTGGTCTTTGAAGTCAGAAGGGAAACAACCTGAATTAGATAACTAAAATGAAACATAAATGAAAGCTGAGATCAGCCCTGTTGGCAGCACTGAAAACACAACTATAAAAGCACAAAAGAGGACATAAAAATGTTAAAGCATTATGTGTGTTTAGTATCAGCATCCCTACCTCTGAATAATGAATTCCTTTGCAGGATCAAATAAATTACCATGGACTATCCACTCATCCACTGTCTGTAAATATGGCCTCACAGTTTCAACCCAGAGAGAGAACAAAAGGGATACCTGAATTTAAAGGAAGAAG